TATCCAGAGGTACAGGCCGGACTGATGAGGGTAGCGGGGTCAGGGAGATAACTAAGTGAGGAATGGTTGGAAGCCCTGAGAAACCCAATAAATCAGGTCATTATAAGGATTAGACTTGTTCTTTGGGGTGGAAATGAAGGATTGTAGCTCTTCATCTGGCTAGATAAAAGGAAGAACCTTCAACCATAGACAGGCATCCAAATGGAATAGAGAGGTCCGGGACAGAAAGTACTTCTCATCCCTGGCAAAGTCTAAGCAGAAGCACTTTCCCAGAGCTCTTGCGCAGGCATCCAAACATCGGAGGGGTAGCGAGCCCTTTCTGTGCTCTTTCTGGTGACCAAGGCCACCTCTTCCTGTTCACTGACTGCGCCCAAGGGGCTCTGGCCTGCAGGGCCACCCTGCCCTTGATGAAGCCTGCTATCCAAGTGTTAAAATCTCCGTAATGCATTTAGACCCAAAAAAGTAAAGTGCTAGGAAAGTCTGAATGGATGGTGCTGGTGCTGGTGAGAGGGCACGTAGCCAAAACTGCACTGAAACACCAACTACCTCTATAACCTGGACGTATTTCCTTCCTTTTCATTATACACACTGTCTTTCAAATATATCAGTAGGTAAGAGCTTCTCTTTACTCTACAAAACACGCCCTCTTAAGCCTGGCACTAAAAATGAGCAGGTGGAACCACTTTCTGCAATGGATGGAGCATGGAAAATGTGCTTACCAACCACATTTTTGGGTAAGAAAAAATCATATTTTAAATGTATAGAGGTGAGGACTTTTTAAGGAGAATTCTATACTGATATTTTTAAGCAAAAGACAGAAATTCTTTTCTGAAATTCAAATACTATTCCCATTTTAAAACAGTCTGGTCTATCAGGGTTCAGAAGAACAGAACCTACCCACCAAAGATCAGTCACACATTCCAAACCCCATCGTTATTTTATTATTTTGGTATAGAATTAAGAGCCCTGCATTTGATGCTAAGTACACTTCTAACATTCCAGAAACACAATTTTTTAATGACTTAGTTTGTTCACAATAAAGGCAGATTAAGACTCAAGAGATGCTAAAATATTCTAAAGCTGTACCATGAAATCTGGTCTGTCAAATCTGAAATGCCTACACACCGGATTTCAATGACTTGGTACAAAAAAATTGTGACATATCTTATGACTTTATAATTCTGTACTGTTTATATGTTGAAATGATAATATCTTGGAATATACTGAGTTAAATCGATTAAAATGAAAAGAAAAAGGAAAAAAGATCAAAGATTTCTAGACCCAACCTGATTCCAGGTTGCACTTCTTGGAGCCTTTTATTTTTAACCAGCTTTCTAGGTGATGTAACTATAGGTAGGTTTACATAAGGCATTACAAAAAAACCCCAAACTTATTATGATGGGTACACCTCAGGCCTTGCCTCCTACCAGAGGACATACATCGGTGATATCTGCAAACTAAAAGTGCTGTCTGTTATTCTGAAACAATTATCCTGAGCTGGGCTTCAGAAACCAGAATAGCAGCAAGTCCACTCCACACAGATTCTCTTCCCCACTGCTGGAATTCTAAAGACAGGGACAAGGACCCACACCAGCTGGCTACTGGCGATCTGCAGGGAGGCAAGTGAAAGCTGATGACTTCTATATCAGTCGTTTTCCCAACAGCACCACATAGGATTCCATCAAAGCCACCACCAAAGTATAATCCAAGAATCAAGACTCTTGCCTGAACTGGCCCCAGGCCAGGGCAGCCCCAGGGCAGCTGCTCACCTCAGCAGGTCCTGCATGGCAGCCGCTGAGAAGGCAAACACCTCACTTTTTATCTACAATCACAAAGGCTACTATAGGTCAGGAGCTCGTGTGACCTCAGAGAAGATCCCGCTGTAGCTTCCAAATTAAAGGTAAGAAACCAAGGCCCACCCAGAGAGACTGTCTCACCCAGGTCCCAGCTGGTGAAAGGAAACTGGAGATTAGAATCCAGCAAACCAGAGTCCCAGTCCAATGTTCTTTCAGCCACACCACACATCACCTACCCTCTCTAACATCTCCGGAACAAAACCAGCCCTGGAGTCAGGGGCAAGACTAAGAAGCAGGTATGGTGCATAATAAAAAGTACAATAGCTGACAGGCACAGTACCACCTGCCTGTAATCCCAGATACTCAGGAGGCCAAGGCAGGAGGAACATGAGTTCAACTCCAGCCTGGACCATTTAGCAAGACGCTGTCTCAAAACTTAGAAGTAGAAAAGGACTGGGGTTGTAGCTCAGGGTGACACCCTTCCTTCAATCCCCAGTATTGCAGGGAGGACTTTGTTTGGAGTCATCTGTACAACTCTGAGCAAGTTACTTCATCTCCTTTTGCTTTGACTCCCTCACCTGACAGATATCATGAATAACACCGACATCACAATATCGCTAGGAAGATAGATATTAGGTATGATGTCTGGCCACGATGGACCCTCACTAATGGAAACAACTGTGATTATTACTATGGAGATGTTTATGGGCAGAAAGCCAGGAGGTCCACTATAGACACTCTACAGTACTTTCTCCCTTTAATACTCTGGAAGCCGAACCAGGGCCCTATCTTAGCAACAGCGCTCTGAGTGCCGTGAGCACCTGAGGAGCCCACAAAGGCAGATTTCCGGCTTCACAGAAAAGGGAAGCAGAGATGAGCCCTTCCCACAAAAGAGGGTCATTAAGAGCTGGCCCAGTGTCCGGACTTGCAAGAAAAATGTGTTGGGGACAGGGGGGAGCACAGCACCAACACAGCAACCTGTGGTTTCTACTCTGGCACACTCTGCAGGGGCCCATCCAGGGGACCCCTTACTACACTTACTACACACACTACACACAAGTCCATTTCCGTGCTTACCTCAGTAAAGCCTGGCCAATTGAGGCAATACAGGATATTCCCAAATCCGGGGGGTCTGTGGGTAAACAGGCTCAGCGAGGGTTTCTTAACGGGAAGAAGAAACGCAGCGGCTCTAAGTATTAGCAGTATTAATCAGTAACACCCTTCTGGAAGGGCTATCAGCTCCAGGCCAGCAAAAGCATAAACAAGAGACTGTTCACCCAGCCTCGGTGCAGGATCTCACTTCAGGTCAGAGGAAAAGAAGAAACGTATCATTAACAGCAGTGACGCCGTTAGCACCTGACCCTTGAGATATGAAACAGTTAAAGAACTGAGACCTTCACAGTGGAGAGGGAATCGAAAAGGGGAAAACTTAAAACCACCAGGCTGATCTTCTACCTTATACAGTTCTTTGATCTGCGACATCTCCCAAGGTAATCACATGCTATAGAAATGATCCCTGAAAGTATAGCCTTCTCCCAAGGTAATTACCCAGTGACCATGACTGCCATGACCGGGAGCTCCAGGCTCTGTGCTCCCTTGCAGGAGACAACTTACTCTTTGCAAGTCTTCGAGCTCACCCCAAAACCACTTCCCTTCTGGCATTTCTGTCGATGTTCCTAGTTGCAGTCTCTGCAATATTAGAAAGCAAATGGAACCTCTTCCTCACACAGCTTTGAGAATAGACAGAGACAGCTCTGAGCACTTTGCACAGCCAGTGGAATAAGGCTGAATGAACAGCTACATGGTTTGAAGGGAACCTAAGGACTCAAGAGCAGACAATTATAAAGGACACAACCAAAAACAGAAGCAACTTAACTGTCACCCAAGCAGCATCCACTGCACACAGCCCCTTAGTGTTTGACCTTGAGAACATCTCTAAAGAAAAGTAGACCAAATGTGAGTGATACTGGAAACGAGGTACTAGGCAAAAGTCCAACGAATGCCCTGAGCACAAAAGACAAATTACATCTGGCTGTCAGTATTCAGCTTTGACATAATACAGACAGGGAGACAGGAGGAGAATCTCAGGTCAAATACTAAGCAGAGGAAACTGCTTTCTGGACAAGTGGATTAAATCTTGTTGCACTGTAGGCTGGTATTTCATGTACACAGGGAGAAAAATTAATTACTCTGGATTAAAAAAGAAAGGACCTAGATTCAGAGACTGTCAGAGCCTAAGAGAGTCAACCCTATCATTGTACAGACTGAGGACCTACATCCAGGGGAGGATGGCAGTCAACTAAGGTGGCTGAGGAACTGGCAAAGCTACAGCAAAATCTCCCGGATCCGCATCTCCTTTCTTTCCACTATGTTGTGCTATCTTATTGCAACGAACCTCGGAGAACTGCCAAATATCCATTTCAATCGGCCAAGGTAGAGAAAAAATAAAGCAGAGGTCTTTCCATTCTCCGGTTAATGCCAGGGCTCTCCTCCACCACAGCCGAGCCAAGGGCACGCTCCACATCATATTTCCTGTTTTTATAGGACTCACACAAAATTGCAGGACCCTTAGCAACCAAGCCAACGGAATGATGAGTTCGCAGAAAAAATCGTGTACAAGCAGGGAGCCGCACCCACAGCCAATCTAACCCCAGGCGTGGAGAAGGCAGAGCTAAACGAGCAGAGGACTACGAGGAGCTGGACCCGTGCCCTTCGCACGTCGTTTCCCCGGGAGGCGGCGTGGGCAAGAACAGCGGCTGGAGAGCCCAGGGACACAGGGCTTCCAGCCACTCTAGGCGACCTCGAGCAACCTCTCGCCAGCGCTCCCCCGGCCTCGGTTTCCCCTACAGTCCGAGGAGGGTGTTGCACCCCGTGACTTGCCAGGGTCTTGCAGGTGTGGCACTGTGACCCAAAGTCCCGTTTTTAGCAAGTCTGGGGCACCGCTCCCGAAGCGGAGAGGGGGGTTGGTCCGAGAGGGGAGCCGCTTTGCGGAGCCTGGAAAAAGCCCGAGCTGCTGGTCTGGGTGATCGCCTGACTCCCCACCTGTCAAAAGGGGCTGCAAGCCCACGACCTCGCTAGGCGCAGGGAGGCAGCGCCCGCCGCCCCGCGGGGCCAGTGCCTGCCCCGGGCATCTGCTGCGCCGGAGGACGGCGGGGAGGCCCTGCCAAGCCGGCCGCAGCGGCAGCGGGCAGCGCGGACACTCACCGCCTGGATTCCGGCTCCGGCTCCGGCTCCGGTCCTGCTCCCGCACAGCCCAGCCGCTCCGCTCAGCGCGGGGTCCCCGCCATCCTCTCGGCGGCCCCGCGCCGCTTCCGGGCCCTGTCACGTGGTGCGGAGCCCGGGCCGAGGTCACGTGCTGCCGCGCTCCCCCTCTGTCCCACTCCGTCCTCTGCTCTGCAGCACCACCTAGTTGCCTGATGCTGCGGTTGCAGGAAGGACCGCTTTTCTGGAACCGAGGGGTGGAGCTAGGAAGAGAAAAATTAATCTAGGGGAGCTCGGGCGGGGTCCCCTGAGTGGTGGGTTTTTGAAGTACTCATAATTTTTGCACTTGCTGTATTTTCTGTAATGTATCTCAACGAGCACGTATTGCTTTTATGGCCGGGAATATACATCTCATCTATGGTTGCTACTGGAAACGAGAATGTGAGGTAGAACCGCATTTCTCTTTCAATATATTTTCAAATGATAAGTGACTTTTAAATAGATGACAACAGTTTAGTACGTTTGAGTGGTATGGATTATCACGGCTTCTCTTTCTGCAGATTCTTCTTTGAAATGATGCAAAAAACAGACTTCAAAAGCCACAAGGGTCATTATTTAATAACAATAACATCAATAGGTAGTAACAATTATATGTGTATATATGTACCCAAAATGCCAACACTTAAGTGCATACAGCAAATATTAATGGTCCTAAGGAAGAAATAGATGTGATATAATCATAGTAGAAAGCCCTACCTTTAACAATGGATAAATCAACTAGAGAAAAATTTAAAATTCTGGACACGAATTGCACTTTAGACCAAATGAACAGAACAAGATACACCTTTTGTATAAAAAGGAGGGGATGTGTTTTACTGCTTTATGCATAATGAAACTCTAGGAGAATAGACAAGAAAAAGTGTGAAACTAAGGATCTCATCTCACCTAACTCTGTTGCCCACTTGTCTCCTCTTTGCTTTCAATATCCAGGCAACTACCTTGAGACCTTCAATCCCTTGAGAGATATTCTGAGAGGCCCTGATGTATATCATCATACTCAGGTTAAATGTAATCTGCAGTATTGGGGATTGAATCCAGGGCCTTCAAACTGAGCTACATCCCCAGCCCTTCTGTTTTATTTTTTATTTTGAGACAAGCTCTTACTGAGTCACTAAATTGCCCAGGCTAGACTTGAACTTGCAGTCTACCTCCTAGAGAGTAGGATTACAGACAAGTACCATGCCACCATGCGTCTCTGCACTTTCATCAGTATCCAGACAGCAAAGCCATTGTTCCCACTCATGGAACTTCTGTGGGTGGTTTGCATAATTACTTGCTATAGTGTAAGCATTTATAATTCTTAAACTTTAAAATATTTGGTAAGCTATAGCACCATAATGTAAGTTGCAAGTCCTGAAAATGACTTTAAAAATCCTTAATTTGGGAATAGAAATTAGAAAAGATAAAACTGCTGTTAAGGGGCCAGACACCATCAGAGTATCATATGCTGGTAGTGAGCGAGAGCTGAAGAAGGGAAAAGCAGCCTTTAAACAAGGGCGCCCCCTAGGGGAACAAACCTCAGATGGATGCTTAGGAAAAGTGCTGCTGCTGATGCTGCTGCTGCTGCCGCCGCCGCCAGACCAATGTGACAGGATGCCTCTAGCCCAAAAAGCCCAAAATATTGTTTTGACTCTTATTGTGATGTATGATGATTTGAAAGGAAGAAATGATGATAACCCATTTTACCAACAGTATTTTGGTGATAAAATATATAGTGATATGGGAAAGAAAACTAAACCAATGCCATTTTCTGTTCTAGTGCCATTTTATAGCTTACATTTCTGTTTCCTTAAGTTTGTTTCTTATAAATGTTGTCATAGCTATCTAACTCGATACCACCGCATGCTCTGTCATAAGACTGCTTGTTCCCCATGTAAAATGTCGAACACCTTTGTTCCTTTCTCACAAGCTAAGCCCATGCTTTGTAGTCTTTCTATAGCTGCACTAAATCATATCAGCACCACGCCCCCCACAGACCCAGAACTAGACCCGGAACTTGCTTGTCTCTGCATCTGGCTTCGGAGGGTGACTCAATTAAATAATCACCTTTGCTGCAAAAATAGAAGAAATCTATTTAAAAAGTAATTGATACATGCAATCTCAGGTCCCAGGAAAAAGTTTGTAAACTATTCAAGATCTCATCCTTCCCGTGATTAAACAGGACTGCTCTGCCACCAATGCTGTGAGGCCTGAAAGATTGCACAAGAGGTGACACATTCTGTAGGGAGGAAGATCTTGGGGGGGATATGTGAAAGGGATTTGAAAGAATACACCAGTCAGACGTCTGTATTCACCAGCAGACAGGACCACAATTGTAAGAGTATGGTCACACATGCAAAAGACCCAGCCACATGCCTCTCCTTAGAACCATGCTGCTCACCCAGGAGTAGATCAAAGTAGTAGGCTTTAAACATATTATATTTCTGTAACATAAAGAACATTACCCAGTGGTGTGAGGTGGCCAATAGGACGCCATAAATGGGTCATAGCGGTGCTGAGATATTGATATCTTTGCCCCTTGGGCAATCCAGATGGATCTTAAAGCACTGCGGCTCTTGAATCAATTACCTCTAGTCATGAGCAGCCCTAGTTCTTTTATCCCAAGGACCTTCAAAGTTGTTATCATTTTCTGCATGTTATAATGTGGGAAAAAATAGGAAGCACTAGATAGGTAAGGTGTTCTTACCATTTTCTGTTCACATTGAGACATTTATGAGAATGAGAGGGGCTGTATGAAGATTCTCTAGGAAGACAGGAGCATAATGGAACTGCCCCAAATAACCTAGAATGTATTGTTTAGAAACCAGAATATGCCCCCAAAGATGCCCACTGATCTCCAGGATATGCTACCTGAGATGGCAAAAGGGACCTCTGCAGGTGTGATTAAATTAAGGAATTTGAGGTGAGGCAATTATTTGTATGGGTTTATTATGTACAAGGGTCTTTACCGGAGGTCAGAGAGAAGAGAGATGTTATCCTACTGACTTTGAAGCTGGAATAGAATATAGGATCCTCTAGAAGCTAGGAAAGCCAAAAAAATAGGTCTTTTCCTGGGTCTCCAGAAAGGGAACAGCCCTGCCAATACCTAAGTTTAGAACTCCTCACCTCTAGAACTGTAAAAAAAAAAAAAAAAAATTTGTTTTGATTTACACATTTGTCATCATTTGTCAAAGTAGGAATAGGAAAATAACACAAATACTACTTATAATTGATAATAAATTTGACTTTGTTTATATAATTTTTAAAGTTAGAAAAGTAAGCAATAAAGCACTAAAATAGTGAAATAATTATATTGAGAAGTTAAACAGGGTGACATAAATATTCATGTAACATAAATTGGTAAATTCTGAAATATAAGGCTATTATATAGAGAGAGTGTTATGTAGTTTATATCTAGATCCCCCAAAGCCTCATGCACTTATCAGTGGGGTTTTGGGGAGATTAGTGGATTCAGGGATGTGTAATATTCATCACTGGATTAGTCCATCAATGGGTTTATAGCTTGGCATGATGTTGGAAGGTGAAGCTTGGTGGGAAGAGGTGAGTCACTGTGTGTACGGCCTGGATGGGTGTATATCCCTCCTCTTTCCTTGATCCCCTCCTGCTTCCTGCGTGCCATGCCATGAACTGCTTTTCCTCTGCCATGCCCTTCTGCCTTGGAAGTAACTGACTGTGGACTGAACCCTTTACAAACTGTGAGCTAAAATAAACCTTTCCTCCTTTAACTAGTGATTGTTGGGTTTTTGTCCCAGCAAGGAGAAAGTAACTAAGAGAGAGAGAACTAAAGAGCTAAAATAAAACACCAATTAAACAAAACAAAACAAAAGCATGGCTCCAGAAGGAGAAGCTTTCCTTAGAGATAAGATAGACAGACCATAGCTTCTTATTATCAATCATTTGATGTCTTAGTTACTTTTCTCATAGTTGAGACAAAATACCTGATACTCACAGGTTAAAGGAGGAAAGGTTTATTTTAGCTCAGTTTATCCAGGTTTCAGTCCATAGTCAACTGGTTCCGAGGCAGGGTGGCAAGGCAGAAGCACATCACAGAGGAGAAACAGTTCATGACACAGCAAGTAGAAGGCAGCAAAATAGCAAGCTGCAGCAACAGTAGCATCACTGCACGCGCGCTCACCACACACACAAAGCAAACAAAAACAGAAACAAAAAAACCCTAAAACTTCCTTTAGTGAGGGTCTCTCCAGTTTTGTTTGTCTGAGGTGTTTTTATTTTATACTTTCTTAAAGCATATTTTATCATTTCTCAGCAGAGAAAAGTTATCAATTCCCCTATCTTGTGGCTTCCTCGGTTACTATTAAAAAAAATACAGCTGACAGCCTCAGGGCAACTCTTCCTGTTTTTCTTTTGAAATATTCTTTGTACAATCATTTTGAATGTAATCCCACACACACCACACACACACACAGAGGCTGACGTTAAGATCTCTTTAATGTTCTGCAGTTTCTTTATGAAGTGTCCAGATATGCATGGCCTTTTATTTATCTTGCTTGGGATTCACTGAGCTTCTTGAATCTGTAGGTTGGTGATGTTCATTTTTTCTGGAAAATTCCCAGCTCTTGTCTCTTCCAGGATTTATTCTGCTGCACTCCGTCTTTTCCTTCTAGGAAAAGATTCACTGGCGTCTTAGCTAGATCTGGCTGTCATAACAAATGACCCTGGATGAGCTAGCTCAGCCACCAAGCCATCCTTTCTCACAGATCCAGAGGGGAGACTGGAAGTGAAGGTCAAGGTGACAGCAGATGTCACGCCTGGAAAGGATTCACTCCCTAGATTGCAGGTAGCTCTTCTCCTGCGGTATCTTCACATGGGGAGAGCAGCAAGGGAAAAGCAAGCTCTCCTGTTCTTTTTTATAAGGACATCAATTCCAGGGATGAAAGTTCCACTCAAGTGACCTATCATCTCCTAAAGGATCCACCTCCTAACACTGTCCCCCTGGAGGTCAGAATTTCAACATATGAACTTTAGGGGGACACGAGCTCATAATCCATAACAGGTGCATGTGGGTCCTTCACACTTTCTCTGTGTTTCTACACTCGTCTCTGAGATTT